CAATTTTAAATCTAGAGGTCACGAACTTTCGTCCCTCTACTTTCCAGCCTGAATCCGTTTACTATCTGCTATCAGTTGGGTGCACGCGATCTGTTTGCGACCAGTCCTCTATGGTTAACTGAGAAACCAGATTGCGATTCCTGACCATATTGATCCGTGCGTATATACCTTTGACACAAGTCATGTTGGTATATATTTCACCTTGTTTTTAGTAAAGAAGGGCAACGAAGCACCACAGGAAACACCGAGGGCACAGGCTTTTTGAGCCACCAATTACTTATCCCACTAGTAACATTATCTGCTATACCAAGGGGCGCGTTGTCCCCCTAAAGATTGGTTTTTAGAAAGGTAAAGCATGGACAAGCTCGCCAAGTAAATGCAATCCCAGCAGTACTTAAGATGCAAATCAGTTCGCTTGGTCCAATCTTATGGTTTATCCGACAAAATTCGTATGTCCGTGCACCAGCTACCAAGTTCTATTTAACAGATGTTCAAGTTCTTTCCCACTTTCAAAGGAACTTTTAGGAGCAGAACTTTATTTTCGTGCGTATGTGACCTGATTTGGGGTAACTACTGTCCAAATAAAGTTTAAGCTACGCATGCAACAACAAAAGTTCATCCAGTTACCCATATTTTATTCTCGCTGATGGCCACTACGGTAGGAATTACTTGACATGGTCACCGATCTTTAACTGTCCGGTTAGAACTTCGTCCACTGTTTCTCCCTACCTCTGAATCTGTTTGCATCAGAAGTAATCCAGGAATCGCACGTTTCGTTCTAGAGGAAACATACAGTCGGTGATCAGTCCAATGAAATGTTGGCCAAAATTCTGAAATGCGTTTTTTATTAGGAAGGATTACTTAAATGGGGTTGTAATATTACATATCCTGCCAAGATACCCTGGGTACGCCAGAATGCCGATATCAAATTCACCTCTTTTCGTCTTTCTATGAAAACTGCACTCGGTAATAACGACTACTTGAGTAGTATGGATCCTTTATATCGATTTTTGATGCACTTATGGATTACAATGTTTGTAGAAATGTAAGAAAAATATTTTTCATTCTACTGATTTGTTAGCAGATTAACCTTCGAATTTATACTTAAAAAGTTTATTAAGGTTTCTAAAAAGGTTTTCCAATTACCGAGTATCTTGAGCCATATCCGCCGTTGCACTCCCGTTTAGGATTGTCAGTATACAAGCTGCAGGCTTTCTTTTGCAGGGAAACTCTTACATTCCTGTGTGCCATTAAGACAATACTATATACTTTTCACAAGAATTCGCATTGGATGTGGACTATATTGCATATTTAATGAGAGAATAAATGAATGGACGGATACGATGCTAATTAAGTAGACTTTACAGTCTCCAATCTCATAATCAGAACCATTTTTTGAACAAAAAGGTAGACTTCCCAAATGTAAGATTTACGAGGAAGGCGGTGATTGGCTATCAAATAGTACAA